ACTGCCCTTGAGAATAGGGAGAGATATTGCCCTTGAGAATAGGAGTTACTGCCCCTGATGGGCATGGATGGGAGAGAAACTGCCCATAAGCACATTCAGTGTATTGAATAATATTATTCAAGAAATAAATGGGTATTTTCTTCAAATTATTCTTTACTTGTAGCGGCTGGGGAAGAATGACGTGTGACAAGGTGACGTGAGAGACGACGTGTGACAAGGTGACGTGAGAGACGACGTGTGACAAGGTGACGTGAGAGACGACGTGTGACAAGGTGACGTGAGGGACGACGTGTGACAAAGGTGACGTGAGAGACGACGTGTGACAAGGTGACGTGAGAGACGACGTGTGACAAGGTGACGTGAGGGACGACGTGTGACAAAGGTGACGTGAGAGACGACGTGTGACAAGGTGACGTGAGAGACGACGTGTGACAAGGTGACGTGAGAGACGACGTGTGACAAAGGTGACGTGAGAGACGACGTGTGACAAGGTGACGTGAGGGACGACGTGTGACAAGGTGACGTGAGAGACGACGTGTGACAAGGTGACGTGAGAGACGACGTGTGACAAGGTGACGTGAGAGACGACGTGTGACAAGGTGACGTGAGAGACGACGTGTGACAAGGTGACGTGAGAGACGACGTGTGACAAGGTGACGTGAGAGACGACGTGTGACAAGGTGACGTGAGAGACGACGTGTGACAAGGGTGACGTGAGAGACGACGTGTGACAAGGTGACGAGAGACGACGTGTGACAAGGTGAAGTGAGAGACGACGTGTGACAAAGGTGACGTGAGAGACGACGTGTGACAAGGTGACGTGAGAGACGACGTGTGACAAAGAGGGTGTGTGAAAGGGGACGTGTTGCAGAGCAAGATGACTCCGGTAAGGAGGAGTTGCAATGAGTAGGGAGGCCGCGAGAGAGCGCTTCTTAACTTAAGGAGGTTGTGAATTGCCTTGTTTAAGGAGAAGGCACAGGTGGTCTCACAGATGGTGTCACAGGTGGTGCCACAGGTGGTCTCACAGGTGGTGTCATAGGAAGGGAGAGTTTACCACCATTGTGTTAGCTTGACTTATCCCCTCCGGTTTGACTATATAACGACTGTCGAACCGTGATGGTAAGCCTAACTCAAAATATAGATGAATACTGTGTTCATAAAACATCAACATTCTCTGTCTGTCCCTCAAAACCATTAGGATCTAAATCCCGTACCGGCGTAAGTACATTATAACGTCATTATGACGTCATAATGACGTCGTTGGTACATTATACTTCTCTCAGGTCTTAGACCCTACTACATAGCCTACAACAGGCAGTACGGTAGTCAAGGTCAGAGGGCCAGATTCACGAAAGCACTTACGAACGTGTACATCTTTCCTCGATCTTTGACGGCTTTGGTTACATTTATTTAAGAGTTTACAAGCATGAAAACTTCCCAATCAACTGTTGTTATTGTTATAAGTAGGCATCCTGGTGCTTCTCATTAACTGTTTAATAATTGTAAACAAAGCCGCCAAAGATTGAGAAAAGATGTACAGGTTCGTAAGTGCTTGCGTAACTACTTCGTGAATCTGGCCCCCTGGAGTACATGTTGTCGCCTCACTCCCTACATACTCACTTTCCTCTCTCGCGTCTCCTACCCTTCCCTCACTTCGGTCCCCTCTCCCTCCTCTTCCCGTACGAATTCCCCTCCCCATTCCCACACTCCATCCTCCCCCACTCCCCCCCTAACTTCCCCCATACACGTAGTTTACTTGCGTGCAAAAAAAAAGGCAAAATCAATAGACCTATAGCCCTCCCCTCTGGACTATTTAACGAAATCTCCCTCACTCACAGTTTCCAGTCTTTGTGTTCTCTCTCTCTCTCTCTCTCTCTCTCTCTCTCTCTCTCTCTCTCTCTCTCTCTCTCTCTCTCTCTCTCTCTCTCTCTCTCTCTCTCTCTCTCTCTCTCTCTCTCTTGATGACATACTACTCGCCAGAACGTGTGGATTACAGAGTATACAGTACAGTATACAGAGTATACAGTATAGTATACAGAGTATACAGTAGAATATACAGTATAGTATATAGAGTATACAGTATAGTATACAGAGTATACAGTAGAGTAGTTATGAATCCCTCATTGCGGGTCACACACAATTCAGCCCGTCCTCCTACGGTTTGCCAACGTGAAGAAAACGTTAAAGTGCCCTCTCGTAACCTACCAGAGGACCCAAAACAGAAAACGGGACAGGACGTCACTTTCGTCAGCCGCTTCCATTTTCTACTGCGACAATTTTTGAACCTTATGTAACGCCTACGAGCGAAAAGCGACGTTCTTTGTAGAACAGGTTGCATAAGTAGGCAGCAACCTGCCATTGCTGGTCGGATTTAATTGGTCATGGATCTACCATACAACTTAACATGGCTCTAATTACCATTGTTGGCAGCAGATTATAAATTAAATAAGTAGTTGGAGGCAAGACGCTACATGTAGCGACAGCACTTACGACCTCAGCTGGTCATAGAACAGCACTTACGACCTCAGCTGGTCATAGAACAGCACTAACTACCTCAGCTGGTTATGGAACAGCACTAACTACCTCAGCTGGTCATGGAACAGCACTACCTCAGCTGGTCATGGAACAGCACTACCTCAGCTGGTCATGGAACAGCACTACCTCAGCTGGTTATGGAACAGCACTAACTACCTCAGCTGGTCATGGAACAGCACTACCTCAGCTGGTTATGGAACAGCACTACCTCAGCTGGTTGTGAAACAGCACTAACTACCTCAGCTGGTCATGGAACAGCACTAACTACCTCAGCTGGTCATGGAACAGCACTAACTACCTCAGCTGGTCATAGAACAGCACTAACTACCTCAGCTGGTTATGGAACAGCACTAACTACCTCAGCTGGTCATGGAACAGCACTAACTACCTCAGCTGGTCATAGAACAGCACTAACTACCTCAGCTGGTCATAGAACAGCACTAACTACCTCAGCTGGTCATAGAACAGCACTAACTACCTCAGCTGGTCATAGAACAGCACTAACTACCTCAGCTGGTCATGGAACAGCACTAACTACCTCAGCTGGTTATGGAACAGCACTAACTACCTCAGCTGGTCATAGAACAGCACTAACTACCTCAGCTGGTCATGGAACAGCACTAACTACCTCAGCTGGTCACAAAACAGCACCTGGCTGCTCACAGCCTCCAAGACAGCCAATGGATGATCAGTTCTATTCTTTAGCAATGGTTACTGACCGCTTGACGAAAGAAGGGTGAAAGAAAACGTAGAGTTCTGAAATAACTTTTGAAAACAAAAATTGAAAATACCTGTCCAATTTTGTTGAAATAATAATAACGCCACGCTCAAAAATAGGTTTTTATCCCATTAGGAACAATGGTTTGGTTGTGAGTTTTACGCCTAACAAGCCACGAGGTCAACGACAGCTTACTGACCAACCAGCAACACTAGTTCACTACTGAACATAGTCCACGACTAAAGTAAACTTTATAGTGTCCGATTCTCGGTGTATATATATATATAGTTCCTCAGTGTTTAGGAACTAGTTTTGTAAGCGGAGTGTGCCAGCAGGTACGCGGCTCCGGCGCCTAAGGAACAGGAATATCTCGTTGACAGATGATAATATTTTGGTAACCGATTTAATGCTCTCTAACCAACCCATGTTGACCACATTTTGAGCAACAACCAATTGCTCATTTCTCCACACACCACGAAGATAGTACCCTCCCCCCCCCCCCCCCCCCCCCCCCCCCCCCCTACCCCCACCCCCCACCCCCCCCCACCCCCCCACCCCCCCAAAAAAAACCTGCATTTCAAAATAAATGTCAATCAGAAAATGCTGGACGTGATTGCTTATCAACCCAACTAAACACCCTAAATTATTAGAAATAAAATCAGTTCTACTCTATTGCATTTTTCCTACTCTATTGTATTTTCTCCTACTTTGTTGTATTTTCTTCTACTCTATTGTATTTTCTACTCTGCTGTATTTTGTATTCTATTGTATTTGTGTAAATCGTAAGGAAACGAGGAGATGCTGAGGAACCTGGACCTCGCCACACAGGAGAGAAGAAATAGAGGGGACATGTTTACGACATACAGGTTTCTGGTGGAAATTCCCACAGTAGACAAAGGAGCAAAGTTCATAGTGAGACACAACAGAAGGATTAGAAGATGTCTTGGTTCAAGTCAACGCGATACACGATGCTAAATTTAAAAATAATAATGAAAACATGAAAACAAAGAACTACATGAAAACAAAACTACGGGGCCTCGTAGCCTGGTGGGAGGCCTCGTAGCCTGGTGGATAGCGCGCAGGACTCGTAATTCTGTGGCGCGGGTTCGATTCCCGCACGAGGCAGAAACAAATGGGCAAAGTTTCTTTCACCCTGAATGCCCCTGTTACCTAGCAGTAAATAGGTACCTGGGAGTTAGTCAGCTGTCACGGGCTGCTTCCTGGGGGTGGAGGCCTGGTCGAGGACCGGGCCGCGGGGACACTAAAAAAAAAGCCCCGAAATCATCTCAAGATAACCTCAAGATAAGATAACAATGTCATTGTATTAAACTACTAATGGTTGGAAAAGCGGGGCTTAGGAGATGACGCTCGACCCTGCTAGCACCGGTAGGAGAGTACAACCTCTCCTCTATGTGTACATATGTGTACACGTGTCTCTCCTCTATGTGTACATATGTGCACACGTGTACACGTGTCTCTCCTCTATGTGTACATATGTGCACACGTGTACACGTGTCTCTCCTCTATGTGTACATATGTGCACACGTGTACACGTGTCTCCTCTATGTGTACATACGTGCACACGTGTACACGTGTCTCTCCTCTATATGTACATACGTGCACATATGTACACGCGTTACAACCTCTTCTCTATGTGTACATACGTGAACACGTGTACACGCTTCACAGCCTCTCCTCTATGCGTACATACGTGCACACATGTACACGTGTCACAACCTCTCCTCTATGTGTACATACGTGCACACATGTACACGTGTCACAACCTCTCCTCTATGTACACATAGGATATAAGAGAGTCCTATTAGTGCACGATATACCAACCCACCTAACCTAACGAGTCCGATGCACAGAAAACGTAGATATTTGTGTGCCGTTACTTTTCAAAGTTGAATTTGTAACGTTGGTTACTATAACGTAACAAAAGCGACCAATTAGCTGAGAGGACAGGTTGATGACGCTTAGCCAGTATAATTTGACAAGTAGAAAAATGATAGACTGTTACATAGACGCAGTGCAGTACAGACAATAGTTCGATCCCAGTGTATTGCCTCAGTATTTTCACATAGATACATCTAGTACTGTACAGACACGAATTTGAATTGTAAGTAGAATATGGCGTGTGGGATGTGACATACACACTGCGATATACACACTGTGGGATGTGACATACACACTATGATATACACACTGTGGGATGTGACATACACACTGCGATATACACACTGTGGGATGTGACATACACACTGCGATATACACACTGTGGGATGTGACATACACACAACGATATAATCACTGGGATGTGACATACACACTGCGATATACACACTGGGATGTGACATACACACTGCGATATACACACTGGGATGTGACATACACACTGCGATATACACACTGGGATGTGACATACACACTGCGATATACACACTGTGGGATGTGACATACACACTGCGATATACACACTGTGGGATGTGACATACACACTGCGATATACACACTGTGGGATGTGACATACACACTACGATATACACACTGTGGGATGTGACATACACACTACGATATACACACTGTGGGATGTGACATACACACTGCGATATACACACTGTGGGATGTGACATACACACTGCGATATACACACTGTGGGATGTGACATACACACTGCGATATACACACTGTGGGATGTGACATACACACTGCGATATACACACTGTGGGATGTGACATACTGCGATATACACACTGTGGGATGTGACATACACACTGCGATATACACACTGTGGGATGTGACATACACACTGCGATATACACACTGTGGGATGTGACATACACACTACGATATACACACTGGGATGTGGCATACACACAACGATATACTCACTGGGATGTGACATACACATTACGACATACACACTGTAGGATGTGGCATACACACTGCGATATACACACTGTGGGATGTGACATACTGCGATATACACACTGTGGGATGTGACATACTGCGATATACACACTGTGGGATGTGACATACTGCGATATACACACTGTGGGATGTGACATACTGCGATATACACACTGTGGGATGTGACATACTGCGATATACACACTGTGGGATGTGACATACTGCGATATACACACTGTGGGATGTGACATACTGCGATATACACACTGTGGGATGTGACATACTGCGATATACACACTGTGGGATGTGACATACTGCGATATACACACTGTGGGATGTGACATACTGCGATATACACACTGTGGGATGTGACATACTGCGATATACACACTGTGGGATGTGACATACTGCGATATACACACTGTGGGATGTGACATACTGCGATATACACACTGTGGGATGTGACATACTGCGATATACACACTGTGGGATGTGACATACTGCGATATACACACTGTGGGATGTGACATACTGCGATATACACACTGTGGGATGTGACATACTGCGATATACACACTGTGGGATGTGACATACTGCGATATACACACTGTGGGATGTGACATACTGCGATATACACACTGTGGGATGTGACATACTGCGATATACACACTGTGGGATGTGACATACTGCGATATACACACTGTGGGATGTGACATACTGCGATATACACACTGTGGGATGTGACATACTGCGATATACACACTGTGGGATGTGACATACTGCGATATACACACTGTGGGATGTGACATACTGCGATATACACACTGTGGGATGTGGCATACACACTGCGATATACACACTGTGGGATGTGACATACTGCGATATACACACTGTGGGATGTGGCATACACACTGTGGGATGTGACATACTGCGATATACACACTGTGGGATGTGACATACTGCGATATACACACTGTGGGATGTGACATACACACTGCTATATACACACGGTGTAAATAATAACTGGTGTGAGAATTATGACTCGGAATATAACTGTGAAAGTAACTTACATCTCAGCAGCAAAAGAGAAGCTAAATTATTCTTTGGAAATAATTTATCTGGGATTAGCACGTGGAAGGAGCAAGCTTGTGTAATTCCCCACAAAGACAAGATGCCGCGCTGCAGGGACCTCTGGCCTGTGTGGTGACTAGTAATGACGATATCTACGATATAATCTACGATATAATCTACGACATAATCTACGACATAATCTACGACATTAGGAACAGTGACTGTTCACGGACCAGCTCTCCGGTATAATTTATTAACCGAAAGTACGGAACGGTAAGTGGTTAGCAGATTAACCAATGAACGTATTGCTAGATGACCTTGTACACTTTGTTGCAAATGTCTTTGCAACAAAGTGATAAAGACGTCTTTATCTTGAAGAGCATACACGGCGTCTGTGGAAGTAACGTTAGTTATATTTAATTATATTTATATAATAGTATTTTATTATTTAATTATGGACTATGTGAGGGTAAGCATTGTCTCACGCAGTAACGAGGCTTCATAATTAGGCATCGCCCGGATGAGAAAATGGCATAGTCATCTCCCGTGTTGGAACTGCGTCAGGAGGCAACCAAGATCACATCAAGGTGCAGGTGACTGGAACGCGTCGGGGAACACTCAGCGCCAAGGTTCGAACCCTCATCAAGGCTCCTGGAGATTTGTTATCAAGGAGGAGTTTAGGATCCTAGTGAGGCTGTTCAGTAGCCCACCAAGATCATAACAAGGATCTGAGCGAGACTATATATATATATATATATATATATATATATATATATATATATATATATATATATATATATATATATATATATATATATATATATATATATAACTGAAAACTCACACCCCAGAAGTGACTCGAACCCATACTCCCACAACTGGTATGTACAGGGACGCCTTAATCCGCTTGACCATCACGACCGGACATAAGGAAGTGATAGCCGAGGCTATTTGAACCACTTCCCCGCCGGCACTCGGATGGTAATCTTGGGCATAGCATATAGCTTGGGCATATAGTCCTGGGGACCATTCAGGCTT